AAAAGGGCCCCCTCCCTTTGCCAACTGCAGTTGGAATTTGGTGCTGCTGTGAAGTCAGCAGCCTCGGCGTCTGAAGGGGCACACTGCTGACCACAGCATCTGCTCGTCTCTGACAGCTACATAGGGTCATTGCTGCCCAAGGACATGACATGCTGGAAAGCTCACCAAGGGAGCACTTAGGTGCATGATTAGCACATGATCTGGTGGGCTTTCGTGAATCTGGTGGTGGGGATTTCCTGTGAATCATGCAACCTGTGACCACACATTGAATACAAATTGTAAAGTCCTGCCCTTACTGTTTTGTAAGTGGTGATGTCCACATGGACCAGAAGCATGTCTAGCTTTCCCTTGAATGAATTTAGCTAGATCTGTGATCTAATGACATTCTAAAAATACACATGATGGGTTAAACTTTTCAAAGAGAAAATAAGAGTATAACAAGATCATAATCAGATGGGCCAATGGGCCGAGGAGTGGCAGATGGAGATTAATTTAAATAAGTGTGCGGTGCTGCATTTTGGAAAGGCAAATCAGGGCAGGATTTATATACTTGATAAGGTCCTGGGGAAGTGTTGCTGAATAGAGAGACCTTGCAGTGCAGGTTCCAATTCTGAGGAAGGGTCACCGGACCCAAAACATTAACTGTGATTTTTTTCTTCACAGATGCTGCCAGACCTGCTGAGCTTTTTCAGAAACTTCTGTTTTTGTTCCCAACTTACAGCAACCGCGGTTCTTTCAGTTTTTAAAACATCTGGTATGCATGCCTTTATTTGGCAGTACATTGAGTATAGGAGTTTGGAGGTCATGTCGCAGCTGTACAGGACATTGGTAAAGCCACTATTGGAATACTGTGTTCAATTCTGGTCTCCCTGCTGTGGGGAGAATGTTGTGAAACTTGAAAGGGTTCAGAAAAGATTTACAATGTTGTTGCCAGGGTTAGAGGGTTTCAGCAACAGGGAGAGGCTGAACAGGCTGGGACTATTTTCTCTGGAGTGTCAGAGGCTGAGGGCTGACCTTTCAAAGGCTTATAAAATCATGGGAAGCATGGATAGAGTAACTAGACAAGGTCTTTTCCCTGGGGTGGGGCAGTCCAAAACTAGAGGCCATAGGTTTATGGTGAGAGGGGAAAGATTTAAAAGTGACCTAAGGGGCAACGTTTTCACGCGGAGGGTGGTGCGTGAATGAAATAAGCTGCCAGAGGAATTGATGGAGACTGTTACAATTACAACCTTTAAAAGGCACCTGGATGTACATGAATAGGAAGGGTTTAGAGGAGTGTGGGTGAAAATGCTGCTAAATGGAACTAGATTTATTTAGGATTATTGGACAGCATGGAGTTGGATTGAAGAGTCTGTTTCCGTGCTGTATATCTCTATGACTAAGACTAACAGATAAAATGATGGAAGTGGCTTTCCTGTGGATTGAACACTGCACTTAGACCTCAACTTGAGGTACTGTTTACATAAAACAAAAGCAGAAAAGGCTGGAGAAACTCAACTTATCTGTGGAGAGAGAAACAGAGTTAAAATTTCACATCCAATATGACCCTTCTTCAGATGTCCTTGTTCTGTTTCTGTTTCAGATTCCAGCATGTGCAGTATTTTGCATTTTTTATACAGTTTACATGGTTGTCTCACACAGACTATTTTCACAGGTATTTTTGAAGTAGACGATATGTTGGTGTATTCTGACAGTGACCTTCTTGATAATGAAGATTTGAAATTGGTAAGAAGATTTCTTTAAAATGTACACAAAAGTGTATGATATACATTTTAAAAGAATCTTGAAATATTATATAACATTCTACATTTTCCTAGAAAGGCAGAAGTGAATGTTTTAATTGCTGTGAACCCATTAATAGATATACCAATCAGACAATCCAATATTATTTATTGATTGTATTTGGCTGCATTTTTAATAGAAAATTGGCTGTAACGCTTCTCTTGAATAAATGTTAATTTATAATTTCTCTGTTAGCTTCTTTGAATTTTAATATTAAATTTGTAGCTATCAATAATACCAACCTATTTGTATGTAATCAAAAGATTGTAAATTGCCTACAGAATATTGGAACTTTTTGAGTCTGTTAATGAATAATAAGCTTTGACTCCTGCTACCATCAGAAAATCTGTCAATTAACATTTTGATTAATTTTCTGAATTCATTGACACATTCCACAACTTTGATGGTAAAACCATAAGTAAAATATCCCCCTACCTTCACATAAATTAGTCAGAACAATCAACTTTGTTGCTACTGATGATTTCTCGCAATAGCATCTGTGACTTATTTCTTAAACTGGATTTGGGTTTAGGCAGAGAAATCTACTGCGTTATGTTGAGCAATTGACAAGGGTGTGAAATTATAAATAGGGAAGAAGAAAATTGAATAAGAAGTGTAGACTCTCAGTGAAGTGGAAAAACATACTGGGAAAGACAAAGGGTGAGACTATTAAGCGAACAAACTATAGGTAGGGAAAGCAGATAGCAACAATTAAACAAGAGTGGAATCGGTAGAGGAACAAAATTTGTATTAGGTCAAAGCTGGGTAGAAATTAGATTTACCAGGTAGAGGATTAAACCAAGAATGAACAATAATAGGCTCATTTAGACTTTAGCTGCCAGGCAGAAATGATGCAGTCAGAGAGTGGTGCTGGGGTTTATGATACTGTTCCGTGGTAAAGCTGTGCTACAACTGTACGTGATGTACAGAAGAAATCCACAATAAAAATCCTCCCATCTAAATTCAGCACCAAAAGCTGCCTCAGTCTGTAGTGGTATTCTTAGTTGTTACGCTTGTAGGCACATGTGCCTCATGGTGGTCCTCTGCTGTGATTCAAGTCAGTCTTGGTGGTAGAACAGAAGGCTGGTCATCCACTTGCTGTCTAAGGAGGTAAGGGTGAGCTGCTTTACAAAGTATGAGTGTATCATCACAACTTCAAACATTTCTGGCATTGAAATAAGATCCATTACGTATGTTGGCACACTCAATCTCTGCATTCTATATTGGAAACCCTCTCTGCTGTGGAAGTTAACGGGATCAGAATGAATAATCTGTAGATGAAAGTGGCTAAAGGTTGGGGTAATTGGAAAATGGCACACAAATAGAACTCCTTTTCATGGAAGTCCAACGTACATAAATGTTAGTAAAAATTTTAATATTATCAACTATATTTAAGATGATTACTAAAGTGCAGACATTTTTCATCTCTGTTGGGGTGAGTGTGTAACGTGGTGACTGACACATCATACCCACTGGTGAAATAATTCTCTGTACTACACACCAATCAGCTCATTACGAGCTTATAGGCAGCACATAGCAAGCTTCTCACCCTATCAGGCAATTTGACACTGGTGTGAAGTTGCCAGAAGCTGTCAGCCAATTAGTTCCTTTGTCTTAAGGACCAAGCGACAACACCTACTCTGGAGGGAATCCAGTGATGAGAAGTTAAGGCATTTTCTTTTCTTGTTGCTGAGTGGGGCAATACAGCTGGATACAAGGGCAGGAGGTGGTTCTCAGAGACCATCCAACTTTGACCACCATCCTTGCCTCTGATTTTCCCAGATTGGGGTAATCGGAGGCCTAACACAAAATTAACAGGCAGGTCACCCTTATTTCCCAGTCATGAAACTAGCCACCTTTCCTGCCCACCAGGGAGATAGTATTTGGGGAGGTGGTGAATTGAAGCTATTTAGTAGCCATCAATTGATCACTTAAGGTAAGTTGGTGAGTCAAGAAAGTCATCCATGGACATTCTCAGTAGAATTTAATGGCAGAGTTGGTGAGAAGGGAGCAAGTTCCTCTCCATGTCAAATTCACCCAATTATTTCTTCATCTTTCCATCTCTCTTGATACCTCTGAGGGGAAAATACCACCCATAAGGCCTGTCAGAAAACACTAGAAATGGTCAGATCAGTCATTATCTGCAGAGAGAGAAATGTGTCAGATGTGACCCACTGACTATTGCCAATATTTTGCATTTTTATTCCGGATTTTCAGCATCAGTTGTGTACTGTCTCCTTGGTTCTGTGTAAAAATCTGATTTTATAGCATTGGTTAGTTAAGTAGCAAAGTTTACCACAATTTGAGAAAGAGAATTGGCTACTGCAACAAATTTCCTCCTGGTATAAGTTGAGAAACACAAAACAGAAGCATTCTAGTGACATCAGTGGCAGAGGGTGAAATAACAGCAGGTGTTTAACACTCAAAAGGTGAAGATAATGATTAATAATGGCAAATTCTGACATGGGAAGGTGACAAAATATGACTACAGGAAGTCTGTTTTTAACATAGATGATAACAGATTGTTTGATATGCTATTTTTAAACTTTTGAAATGTTGGTCACAAGTTGTTACAGTTACAATAAACAAAATCAAATCCTTTGATTTTTAAATTTAAATGTCCTAGTGTAAAACTTGCAAATGTCTGTACTTTAGTAATCATCTTTAATACAGTAATAATATTGAAACAGACAATTTTTATTAATACTTATGTACGTTGGATTTCCATGATCACAGTAATCTTTGTGAAGGAAAATGCATGAACAGACAGACTTATTGTCTTGAGATCAGCATGTCAATACAAGTTCTACTCTGTGACCATTTTTGATTTCAGTGTATTTATTGCCTTGATTGTATCTGTATTGATTTTTAATCCTTGTGGTCCTTCTGTAATTCTTTAATTGGTTTCTACATTCCCTGAACCCTTTCACCCTCAGCTTAGTACCATTTGTGATTTTCACCAACATTTAGTGCATTTCTGATTCCAGGTAGTTCATATAGATCAGAAATGATAGGTGCTCCAATACTGACCTTGGTACATTCCATTCATTATAACCAATTCATTTGCTAAATTGATGCTTATGTTTCCTATTTCTTTAAGCTATGGGTCAGTCATTCATGTGGACATATTGTTTCCAAAAAGTCTAAACATGAAATTTTACAGCAATTCCAATGGCTACTAGAGATGTCAGTTCTGAAAAAATATAAAGGAAATTAATGTATGATATGCAAAGAGTAAAGGTTACCCCTCCACTAGATAAGGATGGAAGGGGGTCCTAGTGGCTTTACCACACTCAAATGGTTAAGACCTTTACCACCTACTTACTCGCATCTGACTATGTTTTTTTTGGGACCCTCTTGTGGTTCCCAGTCTGTAACCCTAGACTGGGAAGGCTGGGTTCAAGTCCCACCTGCTCCAGATGTGTATAATAACATTGCCAAACAGACTGATTAGAAAAATAGGTTAAATTAAAAGATAAGTTTGGGGAATCTTCCCTCTTTGTAGACCTAACTAGTAAATAATGTAGAATTTCATGTTATATGAAATTACATTCAGCAAAACATGCTGTTATAGAACACCTAATGATCCTAATGCCTCTTTATCTAGAGGATTTGAATACAAGTAAATAAACATCATACTATAGTTATACAAATAGTTAGTTAAGTTGCACCTGGAATAATGTGTTCAATTCTGGACACTGCACATAAGGAAGGATATATTAGCCTATAAGGGACTGCGATGACCAGAATGATACACAGATTTCAAAAGACTCTAAGACATGGTATAAAAATTAGAGCCAGGTCTTTCAGCAGCCAACTTGAATCATAGAATCCCTATAGTGTGGAAGTAGACCATACAGTCTACACCAAACCTCTGAAGAGCAACTCACCCAGACCCATCCCATCCATGCACTTCCCACAGCTCATCCGCCTAACCTACATATCCCTGGACACTGTGGGCAATTTCAGAATGGCCAATCCACTTAACCTGCACATCTTTGGACTATGGGAGAAAACAGGATCATACCCATGTAGACACTGGGAGAATGTTCAAACTCCAAACAGACAGTCGTTCGAGGATGGAATCAAACCCGGGTCCCTGGTGTTGAGGCAGCAGTGCCGACGGAAATTTGGACCGCGCATCCAAATAGCATTGTTGCTGGATTAATTATTCATTCTAAATCTAAGATTAACACATTTCAATTAACCAAGGGTATTAAGACATATGGGGGCTGTCTGGGTACAGGTATTTGGACTTAGATTACAGATCAGCCATGATTTAATTGAAAGCCAGAATTGACTCAAGGAGCTGAATGGCCTCCTCCTATTCTTATTTTCCTATCTGGCTTAAACTGATTGATAACAATATAAGAGAGGATCTGGACCACAATGAAACTGTGGATTTATTACTGGTTTTACAAGTATTTTCCTCTGGTTAGTACCTTCCCCCTTCAGCCGACTGTGACTTTTTTTAAAAAAAGTCTTGCATTTTAAAATACCTTTCACAACCTCAGTATTCCCAAATTGCTTTACATCCAATCAGATACTTTTGATCTGTAGTCACTGTTGTAATGTAAGAAAGCCAGCAGCCAATTTGTGCTCAGTAAGCTCTTAGAAACAGCAACATGCAAAGACCAGTTCATCTGTTTTACTGACGTTAATTGATGGATAAATATTGGTCAGACCACTGGATGATAAACACAATTTCTTCAGAGCATTTTTTTTTTCTCACCAGGCAGAAAGGACTATGCTAGAGGATCAGATATTGATCACAGAAACTGAGAAATCCACCAACGAACTTGAGAAGAAGCTTCCTCCTCAAACTCCTGTCAGAACAGATTTGAAAAAGACGTGTACCACCCAGAAAGGAAGGCCAGGAGGCTGCAAGGTTGAGGCAGCTGATAAAAAGCAGATCTCTGCATACATTAAGGAGATCAAAAGCATTAAAAGTGGTTATAAGCCAAAAGATAAAGACTCAGAACGAAAGTCCAGTAAGGACAGAAAAGATCTCAAGACCGAATTTGAAAAGAAAGATGATAAGTACTTCAAAAAGGAACATAAGGAGGAAAAACACAGGGCCCACCAGGGCTACCAAGAGGAGCACTTCAAAGAGGGAGATGGTAAGAAGCCTTCCAAGGGCAAAGAAGAGGGATGCGATAAGGGGAGTAAATTTAATCAACTCAATTTTCCAAGAAGACATGAGAAAAATGCTAAACAAGCAACATACAACAAAAACCAAGGCTATTATAAAGACTTTGAGAAGCACAAGTATTTCATTAAGCAAGATGACAACAAAAAACATGATTATAAAGTGCATAAAGAATATAGTAAGTACAGAGTGTTCAAACGCAGTAAGCATTATGGAGGTGAAAACATTTACAAGAAGGGTGGCATGGGAAAGCATTTTGGTAAAAATAAATTCAAAGAAAGTAGAAAACATGACTAATTAGGTTCAAGTTCCAACTTAGATGTATTCGCATTGAGCTGCAATCACTAGAAAATATTCCCACCTTGTGTGAAAAGACTAAACAGAAATGTAAGTTTATATCAGAGAAGTGCAATATTTCTAAATAAAAGTACAGTTATTATTGCACCAAATAAAAATCTCCTTGTGTCAAAAAGGATTATTTATTTGTGTGTGAAGTTAAGCTTTTTAATAAAGACACTGCCTTACAGGCACTCAATTATTTGAAACAAGCACAATTCTTGCTATTGAGGGAGTCCAGCGAACGTTCACCAGACTGATTCTGGGGATGGCAAGACTGACATATGAGGAAAGACTGGATTGACTGGGTTTGTACTCGCTGAAATTTAGAAGAATGAGGAGGTTGGGGGGGATCTGATGGAAGCATGTAAAATCCTGATGGAACTGGACAGGCTAAATGAGGGAAGAATGTTTCCGAATTTGGGGATGTCTAAAACTAGGAGACACAATCTTAGAGTAAGAGGTAAGTCATTCAGGACTGAGATGAGAAAGAATTTCTTCACTCGGAGAGTTGTGAACCTGTGGAATTCTCTGCCACAGAAAGCTGTTGGGCCCAGTTCATTAGATATATTCAAGAGGGAGCTGGACTTTGGGGCTAAAGGGATTATGGGGGATGCAGAGAAAACCAGAATGGGATACTGAAATTGCATGATCAGCCATGATCATATTAAATGGTAGTGCAGGCTCAAAGAGCTGAATGGCCTACTCCTGCACCTATTTTCCATGTTTCTAAGTGTAATGAGGCAGCAGTGTGTAACTCTGTTATCTCCGCACTGGAGTAAGGAATTGGAGAGCACATGGTTTATTCACTTTGGGATTACTGTTTGTTGAATTACATACCCAAGTGTATTGCACTATATGTTTCAATATCTCTTACACTGTCAGTGGATTAGATGATAGTAAACATTCTGGCTAAAACTGTCTTAATTCCTTTTCACAACTAATAGGCCTCCTACAGAATTTTCTCACAGAGTAGCCTTGTAACTCCAGCATTGCACATCCAACCAAAGGTTTTGATTTGTAATCCCAACCCTGGCTTTCAATTTTTATTTTGGTGTCAGTAAATACATATTGTACATTTCTACATTGCTAATGTGTTCACAACACAGAATTGAACAGGTATAATAAATATCAGGGTTTCTTTTTATATTATTGTTATAGTAGGATCTGGTGAAGCTGAATCCATTCTTTATGTGTTTTTATTCTCCCTCTTTATGGATTATATAGTTTAATGTCTCTTTATCATCTATGGATGGAAATTCCACCCTTTCCCTGGTGTGATGTGAGCAATGGCACAGGGAGAATGAAAAATTCAGAGAATTGACATTGAGTGAAGGTTTTATGATTTTCCCTTCAAGCCTTAAATAGCAATTTCATAATTATAAAACCCTACATAGAAGCTTATTGAGTCCACACTGACCCAGACCCACCCCTCTACCTCTAACCCTGCATTTCCAATGGCTAATCCACCTAGCCTGCACAACCATAAACACTATGAGCAATTCAGCACAGCCAATATACCTAACCTGCACATCTTTGGACTGTGGGAGGAAACTGGGGCATCTAAGGGCAATGCACACAGACACGGGGAGAACGTGCAAACTCCACACAGACAGTCACCTGAGGGTGGGATTGAACCCACATCCCTAGTGCTGTGAGGCTGCAGTGCTAACCATTGAGCCACCATACCACCCTTTGAGTGGAAGTGAACACCTTACTTCCTGCATTTGTATCTAATTATGGCCCCAACACGCCTTATTTTTATGTCGTGACCTATTCCCCGAGAAACTAGATGGTGAAAATTCTTGACACATAAATCAAAGCAGGTACTCAGATCTGCAGATGCAGCTCAATGAAAGTTTTCCCCTGAAACCACTCAACTTCTTCTTCACAACAATTTCCCAACATGCTTAAATAAAAGCAAAATGCTGCAAATCTGAAAGATAAACAACAGAAAGTGCTGGAAAAACACAGCAACTGTGCAGAGAGAAACAGAATTAAAAAGTTCAAGCTCAATATGGCTCATTTTTTGGAATCCTGCATGCTCCATGGCCACCATCCTCCTTGACATTTTGTTAATACAAGTTGCCTTTGGCAAATCATCAGTCACGTCATCTCACTGTGCCTGCTCTCAGTCTAACACACACACACACACCACTTCAATCCTTTAACACTTTGCTTTGGGGCTCAGGGACACCTATGACTTGCTTACTTCTACCAAGCAATGTTGCCTCTAAGCTGCGCAGCTACTGAAGTATTCCCATACACCGACTGGTTTGCTGATGCACTGACCTCCACTTCTGAACTTGCTACTATGCACTGACCTTTGCTGCCATGTCATCATTTATGCAGGTCTACGCAGGATTCATCTACACACACAGCTACACAGAATGTATCTTATGGCTTTTAGCTTGCTTTCTCAGTGCCCAGTCACTTGTAGTTGCTAGCCACTGTTTCACATTGCTTTCTTGGCATACACTCAATGTCTTCGGCATTGACTTACTGGCTGTCAGCCTACGTGTGGGCCACATTGCTTTCTTAGGGCACAAAACACTCTGTGTGCGGTTACACGCTGCCAGCCTCTGTGACAAGCATTTCTCTTCACTGCAGAAGGAGAGGCAGGCAATTTGTATCATTGGGGAGTTCACACAGTCAAGGGTGTGCACATATCACTGTGCTGCACTGTTATGTTAACTTCACACCTACAACATGAGCAAACAGTTTACACAGCAAACACACTGCACAAGCTTCAAGCAAATGGCCATGTTTGAAAGTCAAAGCAGAATAGTCCATTGTGGAGCAAAAGAGAATTATAGATAGTCTGAAGATGTTATCAGAGTCAGTCAAGGTGGGGGGTGGGGG